GGTGTTGTCTTTTACATACATGTAATTACAATGCTCTTAGCTACTACAGTGTCCTAAACCACGTTCTTTTTCTTGCAGCTTAAATCGTACATGTAGCTGTTGCAAATCATGTCACGTTGCATTTACCCATTTCAATTCCTACATGTCAAATCTCAGCTAATGACGGTAACTACTCACTCTGTAAGGATTCGTTTTGTTTTAGCCAATTATAATCCTTGTCACTTTAGCCAATCCGGGTGCAGCTGTATCGTATTGAGCCTTTTTATACCCATCCAGGCCTCCAAAACGTTTGGCTAAAGTTATTTTCCAGCCAGTTCAGACTAACTGTGTTTGAGCCAATCAAACGAACTTCCAGTCTGTACAATGTCCCTTTTCTACCAAACCCCTTAACACCCCTTTTTATACCGATACTACATCTAAAAGTCAAATTCCAGGCTGTAATACTAACTTTTTTAGAACCAATAAGGACTTTGATCGGTTTTAGCCAATCAGAAGACGTCCCCGGCATAATAATGTCTTTTTTCTACCCAACTGTGTGTTGTTTGGATGCTCCACTATTTTTATCCCCACGCAGAGCCAACTTCCCGCCAATTACTTTATCTGAACCAATCAGAAGAAGTTCCTGTCTCAAACATGCCCTTTTTAACTAACCTCTCCTACACGGCCCTTTTCTGCCTAACTACGTTGCTACCCCTTTTTTACCAACCCCGGTTTTCCAAACGCATTTTCCAGCCCGCAACGATATTTTCCGATTTTCAGCCAATCGGTATCGTTTTCTTTTGTAACGCTGTGGCAAGACGACGGACAGACGGACACGTTACGATCTTAACCCCTTTATTACCGCATATTCGGGTCACAAGCCGCCATATTATACGTCGTAACTTACAGCATACAATTATCTAGGAATTTGTATCAACCTGTCCTTTCCACTCGGCTGGTCATTAAGATGGGACTATAAGTTATGAAGAGATTTCTGATTTCTACGTCGTAACACTTACGACGTACCTCAGCATCATTAGCTTACAAGTTCGCAGATACAACTTAGCCGATCGTATGTGATCGGATTTATAACCCACAAACACAGTTATAACCGGAGCTACACATCACAGCAATCAAATGAAACTCAACAAAATGCATTAGCATTGCTAGAAACTGTACGAAAGACCCACTATATCTCTTCCTTCTCCTCAGACAGGATTTCCCGGCGAGTCTTCTTTCGCACTCCAGCAGCCTTGCGTGCACGGCGCAGAACGACACGCTTACCCAGGTGACTCGAAATTGACGCGCCACACTCGAAGTCGTCGTGCCACACTTGAAAACACGTTGTATCCGTACCTCTGCGCGCCTTCGGACAGAGGAAGCACTTTGCATCGCCCTGCGAGCAGTCTTCGCAGTAGTAAGTAGTCTGGTAGCTTTTCTTCTGCTCACCTCGATACAGAGAGCACACCTTGCAGGAGCGCTGGCGACGCTTTTGAACGCCCGAAACGATCACTCAATCATCAAGGTTCTTGTGGACGTGGGAAGTGTTGCGGCGACGCTTGGGCGCAATCGGAGACGGTGTTGGCGCTGATGTTTTGAAGTCTTCGTCCGTGAGCTGCGTGAGCTGCTTGTGCAGCATCTTGTACCAGTCCACGCGCTTCATAGGGGCGACACCGTCAAGGCGACAGGCCTCCTTATGTGTCAGATAAGCGTTGACAAGCGCTAGATCAAAAAGACCTAAGAACAGTCCTTTATAATACTTTCGGAACCTAAAAGAAGTCTGGACGGAGAACGTTTGGAGGCGGAGTTGATCGTGCACATCAACTCCGCCCATCCAGCGTTGGTAATCGGTCACCAGTTTAGGACAGCCAAACGTCGCCTGCCCCACCGCCTTCAGCTTTCTCTTGATGCTATCTTCGGTCATTGACACCCCAGTGGCCAGGTAGTGCACCGGTTTGCGGTCCCACCAGTGGCATGCAACCATGGTGGGCACTGCAACAGACCGTGAGAACTTGAATGACCCGCGTTCAACTGTGGCTGGTCTTGTCTTCCGTCGTTCAACGACATTCTTGTCGAACCCCAGCCTCGACGTCATGATTGTTCCAATATGTAGATCGACATGGAAAGTAGCTGGATGGCGAGCGCGACTGAGGTGTAGAATCTGTCGACAATAATGATACGAAATCCGGAGTCGTTCTCATCCAATACAGCCTTCAAATTTCGAATTACGGCCGCTGCTCCTGTCTTGTGATCAAACGCCTGACTTGTACTTTCATGGTTTTGACGCTTGCCTACATATATCTCGAATCTAAAGTCGTAAGTGACAACATAATGCATGTGTTAGACCATCAAGTCGCAACTTACGACTTTGCAAAAGTTATAAACAAACAACGCACCTGTGGCAGTAAGCAGACACTGCGTCGCACGTCATGAACATCTTGGTGCCATAGCGATGCGGCTTGTCCGGCATAAACATTCGGGTCCCGTTGCGCTTGGACGTTGCTGGAAGCACACCTTCATCGAATGAGATTATGTTAGCCACTGACCATGCAGCTAGGAATTTCCTTAGAAGAACGTCAACTACAGCTCGCAGCTTCCACAACTTGTCCCTCTTGTTTGCTGTGTCATTGTTGCAGAAATGTAGGTCTCGTAGGATAGAAGTACAGCGATTTCGAGGAATAAAATTGCCAAACCGCCCCGCCGAAAGCGCGCCATCATCAGCCATTGCCCAATGATCTGAAAACGGACGGGTTGGACTGAGCATATGAGCTACAAGTAAACCCATGACACAAAGAACTTCGCGCGGTACGTAATCAGGTTCGACTCGTATGCGGCGGCGAACATCCCTTAGCAATTGGCCTGGTACGCTGCGCCCTTCACGAATAAGCCGTGCGCGTTCTTGACGCGCCTTTTCCTCGAGGTGTGATCTTTGGTATCGGTGTCTCACTCGTGATGAATGTCCACAGGTTCGTCGGCATAAAATAGAATAGCAATTCCAATGGCGAGCCCTTTTTAGCACGAAGCGCTTCCACTGGTCTAGCCGCTTGATCCCTCATACCCTTGAACGCGTTGCTGTCGGTTTCGTACTCGGAGGATACAGGGGTCCATGCCATGAAACGTAGTGTGTCTGGGCTCATGTCTTCGATAGATAGAGAACCACCCAAGCAATCAATAAACGCTGCATCCATAAGAGGCGCCTCTTCTTCATCGGATGACAAGTCATCATCAACTTGTCTGAACACAACATCACCATCGTCATCTGATCCACAGCCATCCGACT